TTCCTATGTCGTATCATTGTGCTTACGCGTGTGCTTACGCTGCCTCACGCGACTATTGGGTCTCCAACTGACACACGCGCGCACCAGCACTGTCGACATAACACCACCAGGCGCTAAACTCAAAACCATCGAAAGCTCACCGCTGTGGCGCTTCGTTCACGCGCGCGAACGTCGTTCGCGCGCGCCGACGCCGTGCCCGACAACCATCGGTCGGCGTCTCCTGCAGTCGTAGCGGTTCTGGTTCTGTTCGCTTCGGCAACGTTGGTCCACCGAGTTGGAATCGGCCGGATAGAACCTCCGGTTGGGTGGTGGCGTCCGTTGGCGTCCCTTGAAAGCACCGGTGGTGCCGGGGCGAAAGGAAACACGTTGGAAACGGTTTGAGTATAGGGAAGTTGCCACCAGTTTGAGTTGCAAACCGTGCTGTGTTCCTTGTTGCGTGCAGGCTTAAAACCAACGGTCTATTGAAGGAGAAGGCCGAGACGAGATGAAGTTTAGTGTAGAAAAAGTCCTCTTATATCACTTATATCCTCTTATGGTTAAACGGCAAAGGTTTTGATTGAATCTTATAGAGAAGCAATGTTTGGATATATGTTTGGCATGAGGGATGCTCTATCCTGGTGGCAAAATTTTAAGTCTTTCAACTCGTGGGCTGGATCACCAGGTGCTGGGGATTTGGGGCAAAAGGGGGCCGACCTTTGAGCGCTTCAATATGTCGACCTGTCAGCTCTGGGAGTGTATGGTGAGTATAGTTACATGTATAGTATATGAGTACGGGAATGTACTGCGATGTGTATGATGCGTATGGGAGTGTATGATGAGTATATACATGTAGTTCCAACAAGTCCACTGCCGTCACACCATGTGTCCGGCCGAAACGATTGCAACGCGAGTCCAACGCCCCGGAATCCCGATCCATCCCGCGCGCGTCGGATCCTGCTCAGTGCCCAGATTTCCAGTGACCTGGAAGTCTATATCTTTCAGTGGTCCGACTTGGAGGGTAGAGCTGAAGCGTTTCTGAGTTCATTCGTTGATCTTGCAGCGATTTTTGTCACATCCACCGGTTCCGTCCGGTTCCGTTGTCTCCAAGGAACACGCCCAGGTAGTAATCCTCGTCCTGTGTGTTGGTTCCAAACCTGAGTTCCAAAACAAGGTCGCATGTGCTGTGCTCTCCATGCTTTTTGGATGAATCCCAACAAAAATACACATCCTCTTTGAGTGGCTCGACTTTCCAAGTATTTCCGCCTAAAAATGTCCAAAAACATGTCCACCTCTCCAATGAAAAACCAAAAACACAGATCACCTGCCACATCCTAGCCAGGACAGCCAGGACGCAAGGTGTTGAAGGCCCATTCATCCAAGATCACTCCCACCGACGCCACATTTGGGTCGATGTTCCCATTGTCATCCGCCGGGAAGACCGGATTTGGAGCGATGATGTCCTCGGCGCGGCGCTTGGTGTGGAGCTGAACATCCTCCGAAATGGAGCAGAACATCTGACCGTCAGACCTGATAAATCTTGCAACCCATTTCTATGAAACAAGTAGTATACGGTCTTCAAGACTCATTGCTGATCAACGAGCCCGGCAAGACTTTGAAGGCGTCGTTTCCAAAGAAGCCATCGTTCCTCAGAAGCAGCGCGGAGCACTGTGTTTTGTTTTACCAGACGCGACCCTGGACCCTCCGTTCAGTAGGGGCCGTACCCTCATATGGAGGGGGTTCCGAGGGACCCAGGGAGAACGGAGCGTCTACCTATAGGCAGAAACATCACCTGGACTTGCTGGACAAGCTGAACAAAATCTGTTGAGTTTTCAGATCCACTCTTTTCAAAACAACATCGACTTCTTTTGTTGATCACAGTCGAGGATATTGTCCTCTAGCCTTTATGTTTCTTGGTAGCCACCAAACATGGCATAGAACATCGCATCATCTGCCTGGCATACCCTTTACGCCGTTCGACTTTTTGCGTGGGTCTCCATATCTTCCCAAGATCTCCCCCACTGCTCCCACCAGTCCCAGAGCAAATCCAACCATCAAAACCACATCCAATCACATCCCTACATATTCCCACATCTTCCATCATCTTCCCACAACCCCTAATTCGGCCACAACTTCTCATCTCGAAAGATCACGCCCTGTCCACCCTTGTAGACCGCGCCGGTGACTGCCGAGCTGATCAAACCATTCAACAAATCCGTCACGCTGGTGCTGGCGCCACCGCCGCCGCCGCGACACTTCTTGGCCTGTTTGCAGCACATGTTCTTTTCCTCGGCCGCGCGAACATCGGGTCGAGCGATCGTCGGGTCTCTTAACGAGTGACCGGTCGACCGGTCTGGTGACGAGTGAGGTAGCGAACTCGTTCGTCATGTTAGTTCGTAAAAAAGTTACAGCTAACTATCTGATGCCTGGCTAGTTAAATGGTTCTTGCATTGTCAGGTTGAGAATGAAGCGAAAACTCTGGAGCAATCTCAACTCCTTCCTGCAAGACTCCCCTTCCTGCCGACGCCGCGCCAACCGTCCCCACTGCACCGAAGAAAACCGCAGAAAAAGGGCGCCGACGGGTCTGGAAAAAGGGCGCTGAAAGAAGGAAGCGTCGCGCTAGAGAGCGCTAAGAAGCTTTATAGCGATGGCCTCCATCTTTAGTAGCTTCTATAGTTAGTATACAAAGCTTTGCTACTAAGAAGCATTGGACGACACCCCTTGAAACCCATCGATCACATGGCCCGTGGAATGTCGCGGAATGTCGTTTCCAGACTTCCCTTCTTCGCCCAGCGGCACGGCACAGGAACTTCACCAGACTGCAGCGCTTGGCCAGGCAAGGGCAAATGCTCTGTTTACGTCGGGTCTGATTCGCCTTCACCTGGCGGGTTCCAGGTCGAAGGTCCATCGGTACCCGGTCTGCGGAACAAGTCCGGGTCTGCACCAGTTCAGCCGGGCGCATGCAGATCATGGTTTCCCATATAGGGAATATACGGATTTGGAGGGGTCTGTGAGTGCTTCACGAGTCGTTTGGGTTTAGGTACTGTTCGGTCTCCGGATCTGAGCAATGCTCCAACGACTCCAACTAGGCCCTCTCAGAAAGGGACGTCTCCCGGTCTACAGAGAATCATCTTCGACCACGGATGGAACTCTTGTACCCGCAAACTAACATCCCTAGGGATCCAAGTACCTTCTCAGAAGGTGATTGGAGGCACTGTTATGTAGGTTTGGAGGGTCCAAGTACCTTCTGAGAAGGTACGACTGGATCCCTAGGGCATGGTTCCATGTTAATCTGCAGGGTCACAGCCCTAGTTCGTGTCGGACGAGACTAGCACAGAGCAATCATCACGTTTCCACAGATCAGATCCCATGGTACACGCGTTCCCCCCATTTGAGGCCGGAGGTCTCTAAAGAAGGGGCAGCCTCGTGACCGGGCGAAGAAGCCGAGTTTTTGCGCCAAGAGTTCGACTAAAAAGTCAACTCTATAGTAGCGTCCTTGCTCCTGGCATAGAACTTTGCAACACAGCTTCGAAATACTTAATTCACATAGGTTTCACATTATTACTGTCCATTCTCTCACCCTGCGGCACCCCTTGTATACTGTATTAAGAGACTAATACTCCTAAAAACTACTACTAAATTGCTGGATATTTGACTCCAGGAAGTGCTCATCATCACAAGGCGATTCTGGAAACCACTCAAGTCCGGGAGAAGCTCTTCTTTGAAGTTGAACATCTCTTCGGCCTGAAGCAACGGCGCCGCATCTCCATCACACTTTTCACAGCTGGAATTCGTCGGTCGCGCGGACACCAGCGAGAAAGCCACAAGGACGGCCAGCGAGAAGAAGCGGAACATGAGCGCCGGGCGTGAACGACGCGTCCACTCTTCACTCGCTGGGGACAAAAGACAAAGGCTCGCGCGTGGTCACGGCCGGTGATGGTCTCTGAAAGCCCAGTCGACGCGACGGTCTCCGAAAGCAGGCGAGCAGCGATGTTGTGCTTGGTTTTGCGCAACAATAACTTCAGCATGGAGAACTGGATTACACCAAACTCGCTCAAGGTGGTGGATGGGTGGCCACTAAGAAATGCCTTTTGTTCATCCCTGGTCCAGTTTTCATTTCAGGCAAACCCATGCACAAAGGGCCCCCCAGGGTTCACAGGTAAGGGGTGCTTCATGCAGATCGGATTTAGAACTGTCTAAAACATCCCACCCGGCTCCAACTACGAGGTTGAGAAGGTGGTTGGGGTGGTTTGGGGGGGGGTCTAGCCACCTGAGGATATGGTTGGAGCCCTAGTTTGTTTCTTTATACATAACGGTGTTCATTTCCTGACCCTCAGATCAGACCTGTCACCACTCCACTATGCTCCCCTGCCCTCCACTGAGACTTACCGAGTCGGTGAAAGGCTTTACCAGAACGCCAAAACATCTGGATTGCGTCAACCCTTTAGTCACTGGACAGTTCAGTCTGACCTCGAGTTGGTCATCTCGACTTACTCAATGGAGCACAAACAGGGGAGACGTCGGACCGCCGAATCTCGCTGTGGGGTGCGAATCCGAAGCCTTGGACCGGACGGAGCGGGACCCGCTCGACCGACCCGAGACGGGACCGACGGAGCGGGTCGGACACCCGGAGGTGGATTCGGGGGGTTGAAAGGGTCCACCAGGACATACTAGGAGCTTCCTGTGACAGGGTGTCCTCGGCTGGTCCGCCACCATGCCTACACTACATGGAATCCACGGGACGACAGGATGGTCCATCTAGGTGCACCGATGAAACGTTTCGGTCATGTCTAGGCAATGAAGGCGCTCAAGAGACCGCCCCCACCACCACTTCATCCGAGTTCATCTGCCAAAATGGCAAACGATCATGCCTTCGACACGTGTCACCAAAGTCTCCCCCGAAAGAAATGTGGACTAGTGACTAGTACTAGTCCTTCCTCCTTGTCTCCCCCCCAAATGTGGCGGACTAGTCCTTCGTCCTTCCTCCTTCGGACGTCAAGTCCTTCACTCTGAGTCTCCCGGGCCACTTGGGATCTGTCTCCTCGGAGCAGGCAGCCTGGGCAGAACGCAGCGCGAGCACTCAGTTCCACGGGCTCCCGCTGGATCGCGGTGGGATGGGTGGGACAAGTGGGATGAAGTCATGTGTGTTGAACCCTGGTTTCAAGTACCAGACCGGTGCCAGGGTGGTCTAACCACCTTTTTGGAGGGCTCCAAGGAGCCCTGGAGTGTTCATGATACGTTTTCTGAATAGTGACAATTGACCAATTCAGCAAGTCACGTCATTGGAGGTGCAGAAAAGCTCGCTTTCATAGATGATACACAGGAAAAACACATTTGTTCTGCACTCCCTGGAACTCACATGGAAGTGGAGAATGGCCCCTTGGAAGACCATTCTCCACTACAAACAGATGGTTTTCCACTTCCATGTTAGTTCCAGGGAGAGTAAGCAGAGCTTTTTCTGTGCCAATCTAATAGTGTCAAACGATTCTCCGAACTCACGAGCTGAAACGGACGTCCTACTGCCACAATAAAGACGATAAGGAGGGGTGCGTGTTTGCTTGGCAACGGGTGCTGTGGGGAATGGCCATGGGATACACAGTCACTGCACAGGACCTGGCAGACCGAGTCCGAGAGACAGCGAACGGGACTGAGACACTCTCGACACCACACGGAGTGACCACACGAGTGATTGGTCTAGGTCTTTTGTTCTTCCTTGTTTTTTTCTTCCTTTTTTTCAGTTTTTTTTGTTTATTTTTAAAATAATGTTTTATCATCTGGTCTTTTTTCTTACGTCTTGTCTCTTCTCTTCTCTTCTCTTCTCTTGTTCTTCTTCTGGTCAGGCCTGCCCCCTGTTGGAAAAGCATGTTTTTTTAAAGCAATCCTTATCTGTTGAATATTGTTTCTTGTCAAAGGCCTTCTTCTTCTGATTATTAGTCGCTCTTCTTCTTCCGCATGTTAAAAGCACGTCTTCTTCTTAAGTCCACCTTTTCTTATCAAGAATGTCCTTGTTTTCAAAAAAGCGCTCCCCTCCATACTATTAGCCCTCCTTCTTCCGAGAGTTAAAAAATATGTGTTTTGCCTTAAGTATGCCTTTTCCTATTACTATATTATATTGCCTTCCTCTTCGTATTAGCCCTTGTTCTTCCTCTTCTTCAGGCTGCCTCATCTTATGGACCGTAGCCTTTCCATCTGAGGCATTTCTCCTAATAAGCATTATGTCTAGTCTTAGGGTGCCCCCTTAACAACTATTCTTTTCTATTCTTGTCTATTGCTTCCTTTGCTTCTGCTTGAGGATTCCTTCTCTCATTAACCCTTTTGTTTCTTTTGCTATTCTTGTCAACTCTTTGTGTTTTTTCTTTTGCTTTTGTTAAACCTTTTGCTTCTTCTTGAGGATTCCTTCTTTTATAAAAGCCTTCCTCTTCTTATTTATCCTTCTTCTTCCTTGTATTAAAATTTATGACTTCTTCTTAACCCTACCCTATCCTTTTCGTCTTAGGCCTTCCTCTTAGACTCTTCATCTTCTTGCGTCTGCCTCTTCTCAAAACCTCTTCTTAAGTCTGCACACTCAAGGACATTCACGAGCAAACAGCAAACGAGTCAAGGGTATACTCAAGCAGACTCACAAGTCACGAGAAAACTGCAGATGAGTCACCCAAGGACACTCAAGGACACTGAGTGTTAGAACCACAATACCGTATGGTCGGTGTTGCTTTCAGAGGATGCACGGACGCAAACAAGCTGAATTACATTTAATTACGCACAAAAACATGCGCTGCAGTATAACCCAAAACAGGTCAACAGGACCCCAGTTATATGACCTGTGCTGCAGCCCAGCCCTGACCCATCCGCCCCACCGAGCCGTGGTCGTCCGGTCTCGACCGCTATACTTCGAGGTTTTGTTCTATGAAAATACAAGGCACATCAAGGCACTCACACGTGCTCAGGTCAGTCACTCAATAACTGCCTTGTTCACATGGAGAGATCCAAACCCACGTATACTTCATAGACGGAACACAAAAGAACAACAAAAATACAAGTGGGACAAAAACACGTCCAACAAATCATGAAGACAAACAAAGACCAAACGTTGAAAGCTCTGGGGTTCAATATGGTTCAATGCTAGCAGCTAACCAAATCATTCCTCGCATTCCCAAGGTGGCCCGGCATGTCTCGGCATGGCTCAGCGTTTCAGCTTTCCGACCAGCTCTCTCTACTTCTCGTATTCTGAGCTCGTCCCGACCAGCTTTGCAGTGAAGGCTGCCAGCATCAAGCCCAGCAACACCGTTGACCAGGCCTCGGCAGCACAGTCAGACAGGGGGAGCACAAGGTGCTTCTCCTGCTACTCAGGAGTTCGGTGGTGAACGAAGAGAGATGGGGCGCCCGAGAAGAAAAAGTAAAACAACAAACAAACAAAAAGAACGTATAGTCATCCTTTATTGGGGAACGTGACGTGTGGTTCTTGGCTGTAATTCTTCCGCAAGGCAAACCCTGATGCAAGGCAGTGAATGCGAGTGCCATGCCGTGTGTTTTCGCAGAACGTTCGTCCTTCGCAGGACGTTTGCCTTTTTCAGCGCCGAGATGGAATGCAAACCTTGTGGCTGGCGAACCTCTTCAGTCTTCGCCATTTCGTGTGGTCGGTGCTTCGGTGCCTCCCGAAGATCAGGTCAACGATGAGAAGTTCGAGCGAACTTCGCATTGCCCAAAGGCCGTCAAAGGCTTCAAAGGTTTGTCTTTGAAGCTGAACCCCCACTTTGGACCCTCCAAAGTACCTTAGAAAATGGGACATGACCCCATAAAAACAGGTATACTTGTATACCCATTTTCCGAGGTACGAACTGAGACTCCAGGTACTCTAGAAGATTGGACATGACTGACCCTACAAGAAGAGGCCAATAGACAACGTTCTTAAGCCTGTTCAGTTGATAGGTGGTCAAGCATCTTGCCCACAGGTCGGATAAACATCGCTTCGAGCCTAGCATGTCGTGCGCCAAGTACAAGCATCTATTGGAACCTGCCTCCAACCTAATAGTAATGGCCTCCAACCTAATAGCGATGACCTCCAGACAACCTATCTCATTTCCCATGTCTGGACCAAACCAACTCAGTACGCGACCAGCATCGGCGCCTGGCAGAAGAAGAAAACGCACCATGCGATCGCATGCGATTGATGAAGCACTTTCTCCCCAGGAGTTCGGACCAAAGACGCCCTGGAAGATATAACATGAAACCTGATGGACCATTGGAATATAGCATTGTTCCTTCACCACCGGGTTTTTCAGGTTCATCTCGGAACCCGGGCGGTTCCAAACGCTTCGACTACTCGACTGAGTCGAGTCGGGTCGATTCGTTCCCGTTTTCAGGTCGAACATCGGTCGAACATCTGCGAAGGTGCGGTGCAGTGGATCCACATACCACCATGCGGATCCACATACACAGACCGAACCAGACCTGGTACCGCTGAAGACGGAGACTGGAGGGTCGGTCTTGGAGGGTCCGAGCACGCCTTCGTACGGTGGCAGTGGATCCATAGGGATGGTGGAGAATAGGAAAACCTCAAACATGTTACATCAACTGTGCAACGTTGGAGCAGGTGCACGGTTACCTGGAGTTGGATGAGATGAAGTAACTACTGAATGGAATAACATGTCGAAGTCAACAGCTTGCAGTTTCATGATAATCCCAACATCAACTTGGTCTCTGAATGACCATTTAAGATGTCTAACTTGTCAAATCAAAGTCCTGTAGGTCCATAAACAGGCAACATGAGTGATGTGCAAATATCACAGAACATGTTGAGACCTATACCAGTCTGGCTTCTGCCAAAACAGGAACACGGACCCTGTCCTTGTAGAACCACTGTTCTACACACTTTGGGTTTGAAAACCTGGTGTGGCCAGAACAAAGCAATTTCAGGAGGCTTTGCTAGTGCCTCCAATGAACACCATCCTGGCAGCTACACCCCGCCGGTGCGCCATTCACCGACCATCGCCGTCGCCGACCATCGCCGTTCCGGGCCTGATAGTGCCACGAGAAGGACAAGGTACAGCAAACGAAGCAGAAGACGCACCACGGCCTCGGGTCAAGCACCACGGGGCCATCCGGTCACGAAGAACCTATGACGTCGACATGGGGTGGTCAAGACTGGGGGGGTCTGTCTGGGGCATATGGCAGTCCTATTAGTCGTGTCTGGGATATGGTGAATCGGAGCTGTATCCTGGCAAATGTTAGCGCAAATGTTAGGTCTACGCAAGCGATCTAATATCTTTGCCGTGCTGGTCTTGCCAATGTGACAATGTCTTGGCCGAATGTACCCCAAATGTTTGAGAAAGTATGGGTCATGCCGCATGCCCATGTCTTCACCTTTCTTCCTGAACTTCATCACACCTGCTGCTCTTGCCAAGGCTCTTAGAATCTCAGAACACCAATTTTTTTTAGCGAAGAAAACGGAGTTAAAGAGCCATTGAGATCCATTGGGGTGAAAAAACATCTGGTGTATGCTTTGCTTCGTCGTGGCCTCAGAAACAAGACTAAAGCTTAAGGTTTTCCAAACAAACAAGGGACCTGAATCCCCCAATCTTTGTGATCTGTGTTTCGCTGTTTCGCTTACATGTGCAGCCATCGTCTGATCCTCCAGCTTTTGCACCTTCAACAATCCCAGCTCCATAATGGACGTGTCATGTGACGTTCCAACAATCCGGGCCCGGTCTTTTGATGTTACATGATTGTGACGTTTCTTTTCTACACCATTTCGGTGTCTTTCTACACCATGGTTTCGGTGGTTTTGCTCATGTTCTGGCTAACACACCGGTCTCGCCACTCTCCTCTCTGCGTCTCGCAAACCGGAACCATCCGAACGAAGTGGGACCCCGTCGGCTTTCATCCTTCGGTCCCCCCGACAGAAGCAAGTTCACGGCGATCGCCAGGGCATTGAGATTCATCCGTCTCTGCCTCGACATCGTGACGACATCGTGTGGTCTTCGGCCGGGCCGGCGACAGTGTTGGGGCTCCAAAACATCCCATCGTAACAGTGGATGATTGGTAAAGGCCTTTGTGACTGGTCATGGGCTACACAATTTGGGTATTGGAATATGCTGGTCTATACCTCCAAAATGAATCTTCAGAACGCAGCAAGCGGCGCGGCAGCCAGATGGTGAAGCATGCTGCATGCGGCAGCGATAGTCGGCTGATTTAAATGGACTCATCTAGCTCCACACTCAGCGCCCAGCCCTTTTCCGGATGCTTTCACGGAAAAAGAAACGATCTAAAGACTTCCCGAGATCCTCCCTTTTTGCCCTGGGCACCCCTGCTTGCCCGGTGCCAAAGGAAGGATGGCCTCAAACAAGGCTGAAACCACCAAATGGGAGTTTTGTCGTGGTTTGTCGTGGTTGATGTTTGTTGATGAATTGTTTGACCATCTTTGGCCAAACCCAGAATCCATGAGAATGTGTTAAAGTTTAAACTTTCCTGTGCTAGATGCTACTCTTGAGATGCTCTGAGATACGTAGAAATTGTACAATCAATACCTGATCATTGTATCATGAAGTGTCATTTTGAGAGGTGCCTCCTCTCAGCCCTCAGCAGCAAAAAATTACTGCAATCGTTTAAAATTGCATTATCATCAAATCACTCCAAATCCCCAAAAGGCTTTTGACTTACTGAAATGTAAGGCATTGACATGACATGACATCTTCGCACACCGCGAGCTCTGGTACAAACAAGCTCGCAGAACAATACATAAATCAAAAGGGCAAAGAAGAGTCAACCAAAAGGCGGACGAGAGACACAAGTAAATTAACCTAAACCATCCAAAGACAAGTGCTCGTGCAATCTCGTGCTCGAGCCTTCTCATCATCCGCCTGCAGTTCGTAGGTTGAATCGAGCTGTGTCAATGCAGATGAAGTGGACAGATGTGTCTGGTTCGATAAAACATCTTTCAATAAAATAGTCTGGTTCAAGCCAAGACTCTAAAGCTGCAGACAGGTCGCCGATGTTAGGCCCTTAGGCTATGTTCTCTCGCACCCAACGCTCTATTGGATAGAGACTCTCTCCGGTGTCTTTTTTCAAGGTCGATGCAGGCAGCTGGAAGGCCACTCTCACTGGCGTCCAGCCATGTGACTCCACATTCTCAAAGCCGCAGCTACCACGGTGGGCGTAGTAGGTCATGGCCTGGGCGTGATGTGGGAAGTGGAGATGGACACCCAACCAGGAAAAGGATAAGGGTTCTGAACCCCTGCCATGGCAGGACTGGAATCCTGCCATTAAACCCACCAGAAACTGGGTATACCCAAGCATTGAACCATGTTCGGAGGTCCTTCAGGTGAACCGTCACAGCTGACCACGTTCTCAACTGGAACCGTCACAGCTTAGCCAAAGAAAATGGTTCGTTGTCACAGGGGTACGTCTTAAGTCTTAAAACAATGGACACATCGGACAAAGGAGCTCTCCTCGGGACAACATTGGGACAAGCAACACTTGGGGATTCTGTGACCCTAGCAAGGTCTATCGGCGTCTTGCCGACCTGCAGAAAGCACCTGCCGCCCTCGACCTCGCGACCCGGAACAAACACGCGACCCGGACGGTAGCGGAGGTCGTGTGGTTTTGGAGCGCCGCTGTTGGACCGCGCCTCCTTCCGAAACTCATACACCTCCACCAAGCCGGGTCCATCCAGGAAGGGCGGAAAGGCATAGAAGGCCTCAACGGCCGCGTGGTGGCGTGGTGGAAAGAGATTTCTCTTGGAAGAGTTTCGGTCTAGATTGATCGAACAAAACAAAAAACATGAAGACAGCCATTCAAAGAAGGTGTTTGTAGTGGGTTTAGAGGGTCCAAATACCTTCTGAGGAAGTACTTGGAGCCCTATAGGGATTCAATTTGAAGCAACCTTTCTAAATGTAAAGCAAATTTGCCAAGATATGATTCTCTCAAGCCAGGACCTCCGTCACCTACATCGTGCTACACCTGCATCGAGATCGTGACATCCTTGCGGTCCTTGTTGCGCCCCAAACAGTTGCACCGTAATCTATTTTTTGGGGATCCAGTCGTGCCTTCTCAGAAGGTACGAATGGACCTTCCAAACCTACATAACAGTGTCGAGCAGAGAGGACATGAGTGAACACCCTTTCTTGTCGATGCTGGCGGATGGCTTAATTCGCTCAGATGATTTGAAGACCAAAAGGGTACAAATGATTTTAAACAATGGTGCCATGGTGGAACAACTCCGGCATTGCCCAAGACATGTTGATCGAAGGATTAAGAGTGCTTCCATGCTTAAAACAAATAACATAAACAACATCGTAAAAATGGTTAATGATTCTTCGTTTTCTAGCAGAGGGGGAACATGAGTGAACATCATATCTGCCAACAGGGCAACATCTTCGTTCAGGTCGAGGGTTCAGGTCCTCCTCGACTCGGGACCATAGATGGCCAGGTCGACTATCGGTATCTGCAGTTCAACCCAAGGAGCAAGTCCTTTCCAGAAATCCCATGATTCACAACAACGCCAGGGAACCGCTTGCTGTTAGACAGGGCACAATCTTCTCAAACTTCATCCCAGCAGTCTCCACAGCATGGTCTTGCCACTCTGCATGACAAAACATTGTGCTCTCACCGGACCCTCAGCAACAAACTGGATATGAACATATGTGAACTCCATATATTTGTTAGCGGAGTGGCGATCTCTCTAACCACCTGCGATCGGCGATCGGGCCTACAGAAAAGGGTCCACAGTACGTTTCCACTGGAGATGTGTTGATACCTTGGCCTCTAAAGAGTTACCCCCTTTGAGAGCAAAGAGGTCCGACAGCATGTGAATTCCCTTCGTTGCCTTCAGTTCCCCTCCTAAGTCCGCTGGTCAAACTCTTCGGGCTCTAGTTCAGTCGCAAGCTCCACTCGGTCCTATCAGAAATTCAACAAACTACGACGAAGACCAATGCTGTACTCCCAGACTTGTCATGTTGAGCAAGACTTAACTAACTTTTGACTCGCATGTAAAACAGGACACATGTGTCTGAGTCTAGTATTTGCAGGTCTCCCCCTCGGCCACATGGGCCAATCTTGATAGAACTTTGAACAAATCCCATCCCTATAGGCCCTAGGGCTCCAAGAGAATGCTCCCTCCCTCCCTCCCTCCTCAGCTTCGCTATGACTGGAGCGAAACGAGTTCGGTCCCCACCGGACCGACCTTCCGGGGGGAACACCGTGCGACCCATGCACGGGACGAGTCCTGTCTCTCGTCCGAACGGGTTGCCCCGGTCGGTCGGAAGCAAGCGAAAGCAGAAGTGAAAGCAAAAGAAGCCATGTTTTTGTGGAATCAGTGCCATGTTTTGTGCTATAGATTTTAGTCTATACAGTCATACCATGTCATACCTGGCTTCTGCCCAACAAAGAGATTTGTCTTCTAACTCTCGGCCCGACCCGAGTACCACCGGCCCGACAAGGTCTCATGGTCCCCAGAAAGTTCCCCTGAGAGGAGTCACATTCATCACCACTCACCACTGGTGCTGAAAAGAATGAGCAACCAACTCAACCATGGTTTTGAGTTGTCCAATTGCATTCAGAAATGACATGACATGAGTCTTCTGACATCTCACTCCATTCATCTCATGTAATAATTTCATCATCCAGGTGACGCCAGCATTGGATAGGCACCCTATCCTCCGATGGGCCAGCACTGGTGGACAAGATCTGCTCGAAGCGCCAGCCCCATCGAGGCATGGCAGAGAAATCAGGATCCTCGGTACAAAGAACCCCGAAGCCAAGGACCTCTAAAAAGAGATCGAGTAGTTCCAAGTTTCCGTCTGCGTTCCATGGTTCTTGAGGATGTTGGAATCTGTGTTTCGCAGAAACTGGTATAGTTACTAAAACTGCGCAAGGATGGGCAAGGTCCTGCTGATCGACCTCGACTTCTTTGTCATAGAGACAAGCTCCTGCTGTTAAAAAAGGAATATAGTAACATAGCGGTTGCAAGTAAACACACAAAAACCATATCTCCTATCACACTGATCAGCTGCACAAAGAAGCAAATGGCACTTTGCAAACCAACTGCTCTATACTCTGTACGAGTACCACCCCAAACCATGGCTCCAAAGGGAACGACATCCAGCGATAGAAGCCAGGGAAAACAAGAGCGATAGAAGCCCAGGAAAACAAGAACACACCAACACACACGCAACCTGAAATGACTTTTCATCTTCCCACCCTACAAGACACACCAGGTAACTCCAAGTCCACGCCACGTATGTTCACTCCCAGGTCACGTTGAGGGTCACCAAGTAGGTCATCTCCGCCTTCCGGAAGATCGCAATGGGCATGCCACCAGGCCACGAAGCGACCCCGCCAGCTTCAGGACCTGCGTTGCTCTTCCAGACCTGCGGTGCGGATGCTGAAACAGCTGGGCAGTGGACGTCATGGTTTTCGAGGGAAAACCCGACATGCTTCAGGAGAGATCATGCTATGATGTCTATGATGAACTTGCAAATGTGCAGTCGCGGTGGTTTTGGACAACTTGATTGGAGAAGTGTTGATTCCAACAGGCACAACCAGCAACAACCGCAGCTGAGAGAGCTAAACAAAGTGCCACAACCCCCAACAACTCATCACTTGAACCCGGACAACATCTTATATCGATCTATATAGTCTGAGGACAAAGCCTTAAATGGGTGGGCCGCCATCGGATACGCAGGTTTTATGGGTTAGGCAAAGGGCATCGGTAGATGGTTGGGCCCCCATTTGTTATTCAAGTCTCGTTCAGGTTTCCTGCCCTGTCCAGCGTGTGACTATCTTAGTCTTCCCAGCCCTTGTCAGATGCTCTAATTAAATGATATGATTAGTCGATAGATGTCGATAGTCGATTTTGAATCTTTCCAATCTAATAGAATCTGTCACATCGGCCCCTGGATTCAGCTTTACAGAAGCCTCTTGGACCCGCACAGCGCCGGGGTGATTCTTGGCTTCCCAAAAGTCGTAGCTGTCCTGGAGAGAATTGGGTGGGTTCAAGCCCATCCAAGCCCCTAGGCATGCAAGGGAACCAGGCGTCTCAGGTTTTTTTGATGTCGTTTGGTGTAGAATTTTGATGAAGGATCGTCATAACCATAACCTTGGCTGAACTAGTTTTACGGGGGTCGGACATGATTCTACCCATGCAGCTATCTTCCGTAATGTCCGAACCTGTTGGACTCTGAATGAACTTCATCGGATGACAACTGCTTTACAAATCTGCAATCATCTCATCCACTCCATTCCATTCCAAGAACAAACTATAGTTGACAGCGATTCCTGCTGCATTGGTGATTCCAATCATCCCTCGAAGAATAGGGATCACATGGGGTCACCGGCGATGAAGACATATCAAACCATCAGCAAGTGGTTCAAAGTCCTCTTAGACTCTAGAACCGTTTGAGCCCAAATCCGTATCGCCTCGAGGGTGCCAGAGGCAGAGGGGCAGCAGTAGCGAAGGACGAGAAAGGTGAGACGTTCTCACAGCCAATGACCAGTTGCTTTAAAACCCGAACTAAAACAAAGACTTGCAGCTACACCAAATATCCAAGAATGAATTGATCTGACCAGTCGACACAACGTGCGATAGGCAGTCATTTCCATCCAGTGAAACTCTGAAGTGCTGGCTTCACCGAGGAACTGGTCATCTGACTGGATCAGTCTCAACTATTGCACAGCATCAACTCGTTGTTTCTTGACTGCCCAGCAGTTCTGCCTCTTTCAATCAGCATCCACCCATCTCCACCCATCTCCGAGCTCCGAGCTCCTCTTGAAAGACGTCATCGTTGCTCGGCTCCGACACCAACACGGCACGCGAACGTTAATGGTTGGACGACCAAGGCTCTCCGTTGTGCCAGCCGTGCCA